TTTTATGGTAAAAATACCAGCTATACATGTTTGAAAAACATGATTATATTGCTTGCAATAGATATTTGAAAAAAATGAATATTACCAGCGAAACCTTTTAAGGGAAAAATGAATATTACCAGTAATACATGTTAAAAAAAAAAAAACGAATATTACCAGTAACATATTTTTGCAAAGAAAAATATTACCAGCAATACATATTTGAAAACAAAATGAACATTACCACTCGTATATTTAAAAAAAAAATACAAAATTGAATATTACCGACATTACATTTTTGAAAAGAAAATGAATAGTACCAGTCATACACTTTTTAACAAGAAAAAAAAAAAAACGAATATTACCAGCAAATATTTTGAAAAAAAAAAAAAAATTACCATTAATAAATTTTTGAAAAAAAAAAAAGGAGGATATATATATATATATATATATATATATATATATATATATATATATATATATATATATATATATATATATATGTGTGTGTATATATATATATATAGTCATCCACAGACAGACTGTATCGCTGTATCACAGTTCATCAGTGTGACTGGACGTCCGGTTATCCCTAGCTAGGAACGAAACCCGACTGAATTGGCATCAATCGTGATTTTACCACTAAGCCATTGGCGCACGGCAGGTATAAATGTGAATTTAAGTGTATTTATTTTTAGATAAATACACAGTGACTGAGAAGCCTTGATCCGATTTACCGAACAGTCTTGTATTATTAGCCGTAAAAGTCACTGTTTACAAACCCACAGTTTCTCCCCAGAGAGCTCAACCGAAATAAATTTTTCAGAAACATATACTGTATCTATCTATCTATATATATAGAGAAAAAAATATATATATATGAAATGAGAACAAACAGAGTCCAATTCCAACGTTCATCTGACTAACAACAAAACAAAACTTGCATCCATCTCCTCTCTTTTCTTTCTTACTTTTTTCTTTTTCTTCCCTTCTTTCAAGAAAAGAGGGTGTATCATGTATCGTATATATATATATATATATATATATATATATATATATATATATTCTGTAGTTCACTGCTACCAGCAAGCAGAAATATTTCTCCTCCCGATGATGGCCATTTCGGTCGAAACTAGTCGAGGAATCTAAATGGAATAATAATAAAAAAACGAAAGAATATTAATCTACAACCCAGTGTGTCCAAAAGATTTTAATTTTTTATTTTCTTATTGTTCAATATATATATATATATATATATATATATATATATATATATATATATATATATATATATATATATATATATACGATGTAAGTAAAACAAAATTTAATTTTATTAAAGTTATCCAACGGGAATTGACTAAAACTGAAGGCATGGTACGTGGAAATAGAACAATCTACCACTGTGGACTAAAAAAAAATCTATAGGGTACTACATAGAAAAGTTCAAAATTTAGTAATGTTTGGACTTCAAACTTCATCAAACCTGACAAGCCAGGATTGCCAGACCTACAAGGTGGTCCGAAAGTCTTTCTCCAAAGCTATAAAAATTCATGTCAGCCATCTGAAATATGAAATTATATTACCCAGGGGTAACAAGACCTACGGACCACATTGTATAAGTCTTTCTATAATATAAAATTTCTCTTCCTTGACTTGTTGCAGGCCGGTATATGCGTTGAGAGATAAACACGTGTGTACTATTTATATTATTTGGACTATTGTCGCCATACACAACGTGTCAGCCCTTCAGTATCTGTCTATATTTCTGAGATGCGGTATTATGTACACTATTTACATTATTCGGATTATTGTCCTCATCTTTTTTGCCATATTTATCACAATGTTTCGGCCCTTCAGTATATGTCTATATATCTGAGATGAGGTAATATGTACACTACTAGCAGTAGAGCCCAGCGTTGCCCGGGGACATAACAGTAATAGATAGATCAAGTATCGACCATCATAAAGACTGAAACGCATGTCTTAATTAGTTTTTTTTTTTTTTACGAATTGGTCAAACCCAAACTCAAACAAAAACATTGTTTTCAGTCTCTACCGATTGAATAGAATTTTATTATAAACAATTGTCTTTTAAATGGAATTTTTAAGCATCCTGAATGTAAAAATAAAGAAAAAATGTGTGCAAGACAATAGGAAACACTACATGCCAAAAAAAAGTGAAGTTTTGTTGAAATCGGTTGAAAAATGTAGGTAGCCTTTCTGTAATCTTTTAGTTTTACAATTTATGATTTTTACTTATTGAATACAGTAAAAAAATGCATATTTTGCTTGTGGTGATTCATAATTAGAATTCCGATTTGAATATATTTTCCACTCGTTGTTTCTAATACAAAAAATATTAACTTTATTTGGGTTTATTAATTATGATCTAACAAATCTTATTCATTTAGTAGCTTTTCTGCAATAATAATCTTTTACAATTTATGATTTTTACTTATTGAATACAGTAAAAAAAATTGGACACCATGTGTATTTAAAGTAGTTTCCGGTTATTATTTTTAGTTAAGAGGACTTGTGTTTGTTTAGATTTCATTACCTTTCCCTAAAGATAAAGAACTATACGATGTTTGGATTCGTACACTCAGTAGAGATCGTTAGAGTATTGTTTAAGGTTGACGGACACGCATGTCTTAATTAGTTTTTTTTTTTTTTTTTTTTACGAATTGGTCAAACCCAAACTCAAACAAAAACATTGTTTTCAATCTTTATGCGTCTCCCGATTGAATAGAATTTTATTATAAACAATTGTCTTGTAAATGGAATTTTTAAAGCATTCTGAATATTAAAAATAAAGAAAAAAGTGTGCAAGAGAATAAGAAACACTACCTGCCAAAAAAAAAGTGAATTTTTGTTTTATCGGCTGAAAAATGTAAGAAATCCGATCCCATATATAAAGGAATACACACACACACAAACAACCTGGGTTTTTAACCCGATGTGAGTTGTCCCCCTTTCATTCTCACGATGTCTCTTAATCGTGTTTTCAAATTGATTTTGTGCAAAAACAATTGTATTGTTCCCAATTTTGGCGCTGTAATTTTATGTAGTCCTGTGAAGTTTTACTGAAATCGGTTGAAAAATGTAGGAAATACGATCCAATATATAAACGTTACAGACACACACACACACACGCACACAAAATCTGCGTTTTATAATAAGTAAGATTTACATTATTCGGATTATTGTCCTGATTTTTGTCGCCATATTTTTCACAATGTTTCCGCTCTTTAGTATGTGTCTATATTTCTGAGATGAGTCATTATGTACACTATTTACATTATTTGGACTATTGTCCTCATCTTTTTCGCCATATTTATCACAAAGTTTCGGCCTTTCACTATCTGTCTATATTTCTGAGATGAGGTATTATGTACACTATTTACATTATTTGGACTATTGTCCTCATCATTGTCGCCATATTTATTACAATGTTTCGGCCGTTGTTTGCTCCGGCCTTCTTCAAGTGGTTGGAATATCGAACTGAACCCTTTATTTCGATCACGGGGTTAGATTGTTCTAGTTCCACGTGACATGTTTAATGAATGTCAGTTATCAGTTATCTCCTGTTAATTCCCCTCTCCAAGCTCTCCACTGCCTTAACCGGGTATTGAACTCACACTCTTTTGGTCCTGACACTGGATCTAACCAACGCCTTTATCCACTGTGCCATATGTCTTTCAATCACTTGAAGAAGGCCGGAGCCTACAACGGCCGAAACGTTGTAATAAATATGGCGACAAAGATGAGGACAATAGTCCGAACAATGTAAAAGGTGTACATAATACCAAATCTCTGAAATATCATCATCATCATCTTGCGGCCTCAGCCGAGATTGAACTCACTACACCTCTCCAGTATTCCCTATCTGTCATAGCACCTCAAAGATCTTCCTTAGGGATCAATGTGTCACGTTTTATCCTATCTGGAAAGGTTAACTTGCATGATCGATTGTCAGATGATGGGTGCCTCCAGAGTACAAATGATGACACAAGTTCATCTGTGGCACGTGCACAATGCCCGGCAAACTGGACACGTCTCTTACAAACTAAAGTTGATACTCTTGGCAAGTCTCCATATATCATTTCTAGAGTTGGGTGGTTTCGCCATGAGAGATTAAGCAATCTTCTTAAAAGACGTGTATAACATCCATCTAAACGACGCTGTTGTTTTGCTGAGAGAGTCCAAGTTTCAGAGCCAGAGAGTAAGATTGGCTCAATAAGTACGCGGAAAAGTTGGATTTTGATTTGACGAGCAAGATTGGATTTCCAGATCTTATCCATTTTGTTACAAGCAGTCCATGCTATGCCTTTTCTAATGTTGAAGTCTTTCTCAGAGTTCTTGATGTGTGATCCTAGATACTTGTAGTCTTCGACACATTTGACGATGTTATCTGAGAGTGTTTTGATCTCATGATTGTTGCGAATGTTAATTGGCATACACTCAGTTTTAGTTTCATTTAGCTGTAGACCTGCACAGTTAGCTGCTGATTCAATTCGATTTCTTCTGAAATATAAACATATACTGAAATACGTGTGTTTCCTGAAATGTCCACAAAAATATTGGCGGGCTCGGGGAATGAGTCAACCTAAAAAAATTGAAAGAACTGATATATATATATATATATATATATATATATATATATATATATGTACAAACAAATTAATATGTATTAACAACAAAAGGTTACAAGTGACAGAGACAATAATGTGTGTAAGAAATGAATGTGGAAAGTATGTGTCCCAAAGTAAGTAAAGTTAGTGAGTGTGTGTACGTACTTGTATGCGTGTATATTGTTCATGCGTTTCCCCCTGCCAAAAAGGGATCACGTGACAATCGCGTTCTTCCGCCATAAGTTTACACGTTGACGTAAAAAGTAAGAAGAGAGGAGAAATGATTTCGCCGTGTAGTTATAGAGCCGGAAAGCGTCGTCTGGTAACGGTTTCGGAAATTAGGAGAAAATAACTCCTTCCGACTGTCAAATTCGCCCTGCGCCTTACTAGGTTTTCGTTTAATGCATGTTATCAATATAATGAAAAAAATAGGCGAAGTAAAAGAATGACACGCAAAAAGAAAGCAATCAGAAATAGGGGAAAAGTAAACAAAAGAAGGTGACGAACTACAAAACACACGAGACTGAAAAAAAGAAAAAAAAAAGAAAAAATAAACAAGCTTTCCACAAAGCTTCTAAGTTTTTTTGCACGTACCGAAAATCCCGCCTCTTACTTGTTTTTTTATTTTTTTATTTCTATTAATTCGAAATTATTGTTTCGTTTTTTTTTCCCCTACTGAACAGAAACGTATCGAGCAAATTATTAAATATGTATGATATTTTTTGGTTTTGTCACATTAACGTTTTTGATCAACGGCTTGTTTTCGCAATTCCATTTGCCACATATTCAAAACTGAAAGGTTATCTTTATAATTGGCTAAGGTATGCGATTGTCGGTATTCCACAAGTCAATATTCTGTTCAATGCACCTTGGAATAAAATGGGTTTTTACTCGTTTGAAATATATCTATTGCGAGGGGGAAAAAGGAACTTCGCTTGAAAAGAGTAATTCGAAAACAAAAAATGATAACTCGTTTTTTATTTTGTAATTTTAAATATTGCTTATTAACGTTGAAAACCACAATATATTCTTGCCAACAAAACTAAGTTTAGTAATCTAAACAAAAAAAGATTAAAGTTAAACAAACTCATTAATCTAATCGGAAGTCTGGAACTCGAGGAAATTGTGAGGGTGAATACCTGTTAAAATGTTAAAACACAAAAATCTCAAATTTACGTTAAAAAAATAAAATCTGATTTGATTTATTTCTCTCTTTCTAATATATATATATATATATATATATATATATATATATATATATATATATATATATATATATGAACAATATAAAATATTGAACAATATAAAATATTAAAAAATTAAAATCTTCTGACACACTTGGTTGTATATTAATATTCTTTCGTTTTTATTATTAATTCAGTTAGATTCCTTGACTAGATCCGGCCAACATGGCCATCATCAGGATAAAAAAAATCTGCTTGCTGGTAGCAGTGAACTACAGAAATGAATGTCTTGATGGAGAAAATGAACTTTTTTTAACAGGAAGTTTGGGCCAGTCCTTGTGTTGGTCAAACAGTCTCTTTTATGTTGTTATTTGAGATAAGAGCTGGATGGATTCATGATGCTCTGAATTCCCTTGGTCATTTCGACAGTTTTATTGGTTCCTCGAAAGGGGATGTTTCTTAAGTGTGTGTGTGTGTTATTTGGTTCTTAGGGAGTGAGTGAGTATCATGTGTGTAACCGTGTATATTACTATGGGTGTGTGTTATCATTTGGCTCATTAGGGAGTGAGTGAGTATGATGTGTGTAAGTGTGTATATTCGTGTGGGTGGGTGTATAAGTGTGAGGCCTCAACACCTCCGTAAGCATGTCAGTCTTGTGTGGGTGAGAAATGTGGGTAGGTCCTGATTTTTGGGGTTATATATTAATACTATCTATATTGTTAAATTTGTGATTAAGCCCGTCAAGATAGTTCGTTTTTTAAAAGTTGTATCCACTTATTTTCATGAAACTAAAATCTTTCTAATGTTATCTGCTCTGAACTTTTCTATTCTCTCAATTATAGTGGATTTGGCATGGGTTTTAAATATATATATATATATATATATATATATATATATATATATATATATATATATAATATATATATATTTCGACAGCAATCTTTCTTTTCAACATCTTTCATTAAATATGACAGACAAGGTAACTTTAATTAACGTGGGAATAGATAGATAGATAGATAGATAGATAGATAGATAGATAGATATCAACTGACATAGATAGATAGATAGATAGATATCAACTGACATAGATAGATATCAAGTGACAGATAGATAGATAAAGGACAGACTGATATGTCTGTGTATATATATATATATGTGTTAGACATTTTCATGACGGTCGTCCTCGAGTATAGAATCCAGAGGTTGGCAGTGAATATTTCGGAGACAGTAGGAAAGCGTAGTGGAGGTTCGCAGTGGATATCACAACAGAGTGTAGTTCATCCTTCTCCTGGTCGCCTTTGGTCCTTCCGGTAGACGAAACAAGATGGCCGCCTTTATACACGACGAATACAGTGTTGTGCGGCTTCGGATTGGTCAACCATCCATTGGTCGACTATAAAGGCGGCCATCTTGTTTCGTCTACCGGAAGGACCAAAGGCGACCAGGAGAAGGATGAACTACACTCTGTTGTGATATCCACTGCGAACCTGAACTACGCTTTCCTACTGTCTCCGAAATATTCACTGCCAACCTCTGGATTCTATACTCGAGGACGACCGTCATGAAAATGTCTAACAATATATATATATATAGAGAGAGAGAGAGAGAGAAATTAAAATAGATATTATTTATCTTATAGTGATTTTCTAATCATAGCTTAGATGCGGCACAAGATCAGAGTATGGAGTACCCTGTGAGGATTGAACTACTCAGTCGTAATTGATAGCTTGTTAACCATTACACCATTTCGAAGTGGCTATATTTTGTTTATTTTATATGTTTTACTTATTATCCCTATTTAGACATTATATTTTAAATGAATGACGTTTATCAACTAATGTTCAATAAAATAAAAAAACAGTTTAATATTTGAATTAGCAACAAATAATAGATTCATATTTTTAAGTCTTTCATTCAAATAATCATCCATGCAATGACAACATGCGTAAGTATTAAAGCCCTTCGCTCCAAGGTCTACTCATTTCCCTCCTCGTAGCCGAGCGGCCTCTGCCTCTGATTGCTGCGATAAGTCTTCTCCGTCACGGCACTCGATCCTTCTTCCACGATGAATCGTTTCATATCCTTCAGATTCAATGGATTCCGTTTTTGAACAGTAATTACCAGTTTACGCTGAGAAGGTTTGACTGGATTTATGTCAGACAATGCAGAAGGCCATTACATTATTTTAACCTTTCAAGCATTCTGAAGTGGTTTTCGAAATGTATCGCTCTTCACTCTAATATCACGGGATCGAACGTCTCTCGAGTGTAAGTGAGATAACAGGGTAAAAGAGTTTTAATAGGAATAGACTGCTATATTAGTGACCTTGTAAAATCTCGAAATCCTGATGAATTTTTCGTTGGCTGCAAAGTGAAAGCAAACCTATTAAATAATGTATTCAGAGCAGTGATTCACACTTGTTATCCTATCGAATGGTTTCCTCGTGAGTTCTATTCTAAATTTTTGATCAAAAAGAACATACATTGAGTGATACAAATGTTTGTATATGTACACACACATACATACATACATACATATATATATATATATATATATTTATATATATATATATATATATATATTGAACAATAAAAAAATTGAAATTTTCAGACATACTGGGTTGTACATTATTTACATTATTCGGACTATTAACCTCATATATATATATATATATATATATATATATATATATATATATATATATAGTACAGGTAATAAATCCGTTTGTATATAATCCCCGTGGATCTTAGTAATATCAAATATTAAAACTGATCCACAAAAAGAGCTCAATGCATTTATTATAACAGAGCATATTAATAGTATTATACAACAAAATCCAAAATTACTATATATAGTGGGGGGCTAGATCTATTTCAACCGACGAAATCGGCGTCACTCAGTAATTCTTGTTCAACGGGTTAAATATATATATATATATATATATATATATATATATATATATATATATATATATATGTGTGTGTGTGTGTGTGTGTGTGTGTGTGTGTGTGTGTGTGTGTGTGTGTTAAGAGAAGTGTTATTCTGCAGTGTAACAATATAATGTTAAACAGATAAAAACCTGCTGAAATCTTACAGAAGGACATGTGAATTTTATTTCATCATAAATATTTAGTTAAATCTCATCCTTTTGGATTATAAATGATGATTTCTTGGCCATTTCTCCCGTGACACTTATACTCAGAAATATTCAAAGCGTCAAATCAAATTACTTGGATTTCCTTTCAAGAAATAAAAGTTCTAATGAGAGTGATGGCTTATCACTTATTAATTATGCAAGGTCGTTCCATTAATTAATAAATTAATTCCATTAGTAACCATTTTATCTTGAGATAATTATGTATGGATATCGGCGTATGACGTGTTGGATCGAACTTTCGCTTACAAACCATAAAACCAGGTTTTCGAATTTCACCATGGAATATTGGTCAGCATGGTGACTTCTTGACCTTATCGCTAAGCCTTACGAGTGAATGTAATTAGACTGAAATGCTCATGGATGTTAAGGTTAACCTTGGCCGAGAGTGCACTTACGCACAAGTCCAATGAGCACTTGAATTATTTCTTTTTATTTTTTTATAATCCTTTCTTATGAAAAATGAAACACTAGAACCAGAATATATTGGAATAAGGAAAGATCCATTCCAAAAGCCTTACGTAACTTCTTGATTTTGTCGGTTTTGGGGGTGCTATCCCTGAAAATCATACCCTAAGGGTCTTATTATTCAAGGAATTGATACTAAGTTAATGTCTCAATGATACCTGTTAGCGAAGTGATTTCACCATTAATCACATTAACATTGAGGTTTAATTATTTGTATGAATTGTTTCTCTATCATATATATGTGTGTGAAAAGTGTGTGTATATAAATATAAATATTTCTGTGTGTGTGTGTGTGTACAATACAAGAGAAATTGGCTACACATCGCATCACTGAAATTCAACAATCAAATGCGTATGTATATAGACAACATCACACATATACATATATATGTCAAGTCCCATACTGTCCACATATGTTTATGTCTGTGTGAGCACCGGTGGGGGAGCGCGTGTGTATGTCTGTCTGCGTACCTCAATGGGTGTATGGACATGCATGTATGTTTGTGTTAGCATCAGTGACATCACGACGACAACTTTTCCCTCCCAGTTCCATAAAAAACAAATATATTCGTTTGTGTACGTGTGAGTAAGAATGTGTGTGTGTGTTCTTCTGCAGCGTAATAGTTCAATGTTAAAAACGAAAAAAAATACAAAACCTGATAAAAATTTCAGGAGACCATGAGAATTTTCTTCATCCGAAATATTTACTTGATGTCATCATTTTGGATTAGAATCTCTAATCGCTTGGACATTTTCCCAGTGACACTGATACACAGAAATATGCACACCGTCAATTCAAATTCCTATGTTTTCCTTTCAAGAAATAAAAAAATTCTAATGAGAGTGATGACATCACTGATTAATTATACAAGGTCGTTCCATTAATTAATAAAATTAATTCCATTTGTAAGCATTTATCCCGAGATAATTATTTAATTGATCTATTGATATGGGTGTATGACCTGTTGGTTTGAACTTTGGCTTACAAATCATGAAACCTGTTTTTTTTTCTAATTTTCAACGTGGACTATTGACTTCTTGTCACTATCGCCTTGGGAGGGTGGGGCGATCCCAACGTGCTGAAAATCAGGCCTTACGAGTGAAGGTGGGTAGACAGAAATGTTCATGGATGATCGCGTTAACATTGGGCGAAAATGCACTTACGCGCAAGTCAATTGAACACTTTTTATTTTTATTTTTTATAATCTTAGCTTACGAAAAGATGCAACCCCTAAATCTGAACGCACATTGAAATAACAAAAGATGCATTTCAAAAACCTAAGCAAAGTATAATGAAACTAGAAAAAATTATGGAAAACGACCTCTTGTATGCCTGTGAATGCTGGACAATTTCCTCACAGAGGAACAGAAGATAAGAGACGCCAAAGATTTGGTTGTACAGAATATATAATATTAGTGGTAACTATACACATGCATATGCAATCATATATCTAAAATTATATATATGTATAGAATGGAGATCAATGTAATCAGTGGACTCAGCAGTTTTCACTGTCCTTGTCTAAATCGTCTTCACGAAGCGAGAGCAAGATCTAAAAGGTCAGCCAATCTAACAGTAATCTCATCATCCCGCAATCGTCACTCTTGGTCCATATGCAGCCGCCTTAGTAAGTCACTACCGGGATAAAAGCGCCACTTAATATTATTGCACAAAATTTCATAACTGAAACAAGCTGCCATACGTCAAAACCGAGAGGAGAGTGCAATATATATATATATATATATATATATATATATATATATATATATATATATATATATATTAGCAGTAGAGCCCGGCGTTGCCCAGGGATGTAACAGTAAGAGATAGATCAAGCATCGACCATCATAAAGACTGAAAAATCCAATTGACAAAGATTATTGTTTAAGGTTGACGGACACGCATGTCTTAATTAGTTTTTTTTTTTGGTTTTTTGTTTTTTACGAATTGGTGAAACCCATACTCAAACAAAAAAATTGTTTTCAATCGTTATGACTTATGAGTCTATCGATTGAATAGAATTTTATCGTAAACAATTGTCTTGTAAATGGAATGTTTAAAGCATTCTTAATGTAAAAATAAAGAAAAAAATGTGCAAGACAATAAGAAACACTACCTGTCAAAAAAAAAGTGAAGTTTTGTTGAAATCGGTTGAAAAATGTAGGAAATCCGATCCCATATATAAACGAATACACACACACACAACCTGGGTTTTATAATAAGTATAACTCGATATGAGTTGTGCCCCTTTCATTCTGGTGACAGAATCGTGTTTTATCTTGTTTTCAAATTGATTTCGTGCAAAACAATTATTTTCCCAATTTTTGGCGCTGTTAGTACCACCGTAAGGTAATTTTACGTAGTGCTGTGAAGTTTTGTTGAAATCGGTTGAAAAATGTAGGGAATCCGATCGTATATATATATGTACAGACACAGACACACACAATCTGCGTTTATAATAAATATATATATATATATATATATATATATATATATATATATATATATATATATATATTCTCCTACCATTTCTTTCAATAAATCCTACACAATAAAATGAAAAATATTTTTAAAAAAAAAACGAGATTTCATCATACGTGACACCCCTTTAAGAAAGTTCTAAAGCCCAATGACGTGATCCCAGATTATATATATATATATATATATATATATATATATATATATATATATATATATATATATGTGTGTGTGTGTGTGTGTGTGTCATCTACCTTTCGTATCAATAAAAAAACAGTAAAATGTTAAATATTAACAAAATGGAAAATATTAAGAAAAACGAAAATTTGTAAGTTCTTAAATGACCCAGCTCATCCTTGTGTCTACATTAAAAGCTTCATATAATTAAATTTTCTAAAACCTTTAATCTATTGAATCAACGAAATGAACTTACCATCATATGTAGACATTAAATATAGTTTTTGAATTTTCATAAAAAATCTATGTATTACAATTGTATGTCCACTATTTTATTACAGATAATGGTACATGTAATATTGATTTAATTACTTGAATTTTAATTTTAAAATTGTCATGTATTAAGGCAATAAATTAAGAATTGTATTTTAGGTTCAAAATTATATAAAAATGATTTAATCATACCAGAAGCCCGTTTAAGAGAGTTTTAAATAATATGTAAAAATAATTTTGAAATTAAAAAAAAAATAACCTTTTGTTAGAGATGTATACATATATATCTCAGAAAATTTCTTCTAAATTAAATTGATACTCTTAACCGGCAGTATGTTGTCAAGGATGTCCGAGACATACCACAAATCCACCCACACCCAACATCTAACCTATATTTTAAATTTTTCTGATTTAGCTTTTGACCTTTCTTTTGATTAGTTAAATGAGACACACCCATAAGATTTTAAAATTTGGACACCACTTCATCTTTAATAAGCAAACATATTATTTTCTGTTTTCAAATGTAAATCATTTCCACCAAAAAGATACCGAACATTGCCTGATGACGAAATAAAAAAAATTACGCCTCGAAACAGAAGTTTCCGTGTCGCAATGTAAAATATTTTTAATAAAAGTATCATTAATATATATATATATATATATATATATATATATATATATATATATATATATATATATATATATATATGACGTCACATTATGAAATGGACAAAGTCCGACAATTATTTTATTTATATAGGGATACACTCTTGCTAAACGATGCAACACGTCGTTGTGCCTACGTTCACTTTCATTATGGCCGCCACCCAAGGATAATCTGCATATTCCCCATAGAACATACAATGAAAATTTCAGATCAACCCTCAGCTAATAACACCGTTCAGGTTACAGGTATCTTGTTGGCGACCCGTATATTGCGCCTTGACACATGACGACAACGACGACAATGATGGCGAAGCCAACCAGGAAGATTAATCAAATAGAGAAAGTTTTTCATCATTGTTGCTACAGCTTATCGCTGGTTGGCCAATAGTTCTGGAAGGGTTATTCATTTATCGTTCCCGTAATTTTACTTTTATTTCCATTTTTCGGTCATCTGACGTTTCTCCCGAGAGAAAAAGAACAAAGAATTCGTCTCGATTCCTTCTTCGAATGGAAGTTTAGTCCTAACGATAATGGACTCGCTTCTTGTGGGTGTGAACTCTACTGAAGGAAAAGTGATTGTGAGTCAAGATAATTTCGCCCTTGCTTGGTTTGGGTACAGGTACACCACAGAGCGAATATCCCTTCGCAGTTCGATTAAGATTACATTGACAAATTAATAAAAACATTAGTTGCATAATGATTTTCTTTAAAATATGCATATATGCTAGTGCAGAGAACAGAGCTCCATTCTCTGCTGTCTAGAAATCGGTCTTGAAGCAAGGTTTAGTAACATAGCCTCAAAAAGTAAAACTATAATTTTAATATATTGTTAAAATATTAAAAGAAAAAATGCACTGTGATTTCCTTTAAAATATCCGTAGACTCTCTTATTAAAACAGTAGTCTATCTCTCCTGTCGAATGCTCGAAGCAGTAGTTAAAAATCTAGTCTCACATCTCAGAATTTTCTAAGTACAGTAGCCTCCCTGCCAACCGGACTAAGAAGGCCTTCCGGATATAAGGAATTGGATACAAAGTCCGGATATGAGGGGTTATATTTAGATTAGAATAAAAGAACTGAAATCAGGTTTTACATTTATTTTCAGTGTTTTACAGTAAACAAAATATGCTCAGTAAGTGAAATATAACCGAACTGATTTTAAAGAAAAAGAAATAAATTATGTAATGTTAATTAAAATTCATTAAATTAAGTATGCCACGTATGCGAAACAAATAATGTAACGAGTATTTTTTTTAATCGTTGTTGCATGATGATTCTTTCTCTTCTAATGTCATTCTCAATTTTTTCTCGCGTTTCATTTTGCTTTTGTTCTTGAAAATTTTTAAACGAAAGACACTTTTTAACTCTGCGTGCGTTATTGCAATCGCCATAGCCGAATGCTGGCTTTCTTTCCATAAAACTGACAACCTTTTCAATAGATTTTTCAATTTCCAATCATGGATCTCATCGCTATCTTGCTGCATATGTGTATCTTTGTCATCCTTTCCAATTATTCCCATCATCTTTCGCACCAATACAAGACATTACGGTTAAATAAGCATAAACAATTATCGAAAGAAAATTTCCTGAAAAACAGAAATTTAAAATCAGTTACATATCACCCAAATAGTTCAAATATACACATCAAAATCATGTCCGGGTATGCGGGATTCCGGATATGAGGGACTCCGGAAATGTGGGATTCCGGATATGAGAGATTCTATTGTAATTAATCCTGAATACCATTCAGTAATCATTATCATTTATGTCAGGCTTACGTTCATATTACCAAAGTTGAGCAACGTCGAACCTTGTCAGTACCTAGATGGGTGACGTGTTGGATGTGCGCGTAGTGTAATGGATAATGTCTCAGGATTGTTTATTGGAGAACCCGGTTCCAATATTTTGGGATTCGTTACATAGACTTACGCGCAAATACCATTGGGAAAGGCATGGATCCACCTCCTCGCCTCTCCCAGCTCTGGGGTAATTAGTACGACTTGTTGAACTAAACCATTTTTTACTATATGAAAAAAAAACTTACAGCCTGAAAAAAAGATTTTCTGGCTTTAACTAATTAGTAATGGGTTGATAAGCCTTTGAAAATGAATCAGTCAGTCTTTCAGGAGTTAGGGGATCATGTCTCTCCATAACCTGTAGCTGTAAGCATCGATTACCATTCCAAATTGTTCATGCTCTGTCATCGATACGCAGAAAATCATTAATTGTTTATTATGTCCCTCTATCTCATGGCCATGTAAGTATTCATGTTTCAAACCCGTCTTAAATCGTGTGTCCAAGAAATATTTAATTTTTCTAATTCTGTTTTAAATATCAGTGCATTTGTAATAATTATTTTTAAAATAACTTCGCCGTTTATCCGCGTATCCCGTTCATGTTATTTTTTACTGTGCGTCTCTTGAAAATCGCCCAACATTCCCTGACATAAAGCGCCAAAGATGTCACATAGCAGTTCGGGACTCTTTTCTTTGTTTCTAAAGAAATATTTCTCTCTCTTATCTGTCTATATCCCTGAGATGAGGTATTATGATGACTTACATTATTTACATTATTCAGTCTGTCATCCTCACCTTCATTGCCATATTCACAACGTGTCGGACAAATGGACCAGTTTAAAGGCGTTGGTTAGTTAACACTCGGAAAAGGCGTTGGTTAGTTAACACTCGGAAAAGGCATGACATATGGAACTAGAATAATCTACTCCGGTGGACGAAATATAGGGTTTCTATCGAAATGCCAATCACCTGAAGAAGGCCGGAACGTACAAAGGCCGAAATGTTGTTAATATAGCAATGAAGATGAGGATAACTGTCCGAATAATGTAAATAATGTAAGTTCACTTAGTAATTAATTTTTGAAGGGCCGCTTCCGCTATTCCGATGAGCCTGGGATTTCTCTGTCACACCCTCCTTCGTCTCTTATAACAAATGACAAGGTAGATTAAATTTCGGGCCAGTTTTTTTTTCCGCTGCCGCCAATTCTTACCTCATATCACTAGCTACAACCCTTGCTGACGACTACAAATTATGTTTTCCTATATTTAATGATTAGGCCTTCTCACTTTCCTTTGTTAGCTCCTCTTGGAAGTTGATAGTTGTCATAGTGAGTGCGTCATTAATTTGTATGTTTTTTTTTGTGTTTTTTTTTGTTTTTTACGGCATATCAATCTAAATGGGTCATTTAATGTCAACAAGATTTTTATCGATGGTAATATATTTTTCCCCAAAACTCTATTGCTGGTAATAATTTTTTTCTTCAAAAATCTATTGCTGGTAATAATGTATTCCTGGTAATAATGTCTTGCTGGTAATAATCCTTTCTTCAAAAATTTATTTGCTTGTAATATTTATTTACAAAAATGTATTGCTAGTAATATTTTTTACAAAAATTTATTGCTTGTAATAATTTTTTACAAACATGTATTGCTGGTAATATTTTTACAAAAATGTATTACTGGTAATGTGTTTTACAAAAATGTATTGCTGGTAATGTGTTTTACAAAAATTTATTGCTGGTAATATTTGTTTAGATGTATTGCTGGTAATATTTTCTTTTTCCAAAAATATCTTGCTAGTAATAATATATTGCTTGTAATAATCCTTTTTTTCAAATATTCATTGATGGTAATAATATTTTACAAAAATGTATTGCCGGTATTAAAAATTATTTTTACACTTTCATTGTGTTTTGATCCCAGGTTGGGTGTCAACTATTTGGCCATAGCTGGGACCCTAACAGGTACTAACACCCGGGTCAGGGTGGACCTGACAACACCAGCAATTAAGAGGTGGTTCCACGCTCCTCAAAACCTCCTGAGCAGAGGCCTTGCTGCCGTATGTAGTTTATCGCCTTACCCAGGACACGGATGTAGTTTATCGTCTTACCAAGGACGCGGCCGTAGTTTCTCGTCTTACCCAGGACGCGGATGTAGCTTATCGTCATACCCAGGACGCAAATGCAGTTTCTCGTCATACCTAGGACGCGGATGTAGTTTCTCGTCTTACCCAAGACGCGGATGTAGTTTCTCGTCTTACCCAGGACGCGGATGTAGTTTCTCGTCTTACCCAGGAAGCGGTGAGATGATAAGTAAACGTGTAAATATACAAAAAGTTTGTTGGGTTTTACAGTCTCACTAAATATCTATACGTGTTTTAATACGACAATGTCCGACAGTAATTAATAAATAGATCGGCTTATAGTGAATCATCCGATTAATCTTAATCCAAAAATATTGATTAATCTTAATCCAAAATATCTCTTCATTCTATTGAGGCTTACGTTCACATCAATTTGAAACACTGCTTCCCGTATCATCACCGAATTAAGCAACATCTAGCCTGGTCAAAATCTAGATGGGTGACCTCTTGGGAATATCAGGTGCAGTTAGATGTATTGTTGGATGTGCGGCTGGTGTAATAGGTGAAGTCTCGGAATAGTTAATCAGAGAGCCAAATTTCAATTCCCTCTGGGTTCGTTATATTCATTTACTCGCAAATATCATTGGGAAAAAGTATGAATCCACCTCTTTTCTCCCCAGCTATGGGTTAATTAGTAAGACTTGTATTGCTATACCATTATTATCTCAAAATACATTCTTTCACTGTGAAAACAGTTTCTGGTTTTAAATAAACTGTAAAGGGTTGATAAACCGTAAAAAATGAATCATTCAATCACCCATTCATTCCATCTAAACTATCTGAGCTTGGATAAACCCACTGAAGAAACATATAATTTATTATATCACACATTTTTTGTGCTTGTGTGTGGGTGGGTGTTTTTGCGCTGGTGTGCTTGCTTAACGAGTTATTTTTTTTTTATCCGCATGCAAGCGGTTTGTCCCATGTACGTAAACTGATTATCCTAATATATTTCCCATATAAGTCGAGCTTGTCTCAGTTATGTGTCATGCTTGATACACGCTTAGGCGATACTTGACTGACGAGGCAGATTTTTTTTTCCCGCATAAGTTTGCCATTTCTATCTGCGATAGACCAGTTGCCATCCAAGGCTATAGATACCTGTCTGCAATGGTCTATTTACCCATAGCTGGGGTGGGGAGAAGAAGAGGATTCATGCCTTTCCCAAGGGTATTAGCACGTAAGTGAATGTAATGGATTCAACTGGAATTCGAACTCGGATCTCCGATTCTTCAATCTAAGCCGCTATCCATTATTTTTTCCCGTGCTTGCCTAGTTGCTCAATAAAGTGTTCATGTCGAGACTTACCAAGAGATACATAATCCACCATTATTGACATCAGACGACTTTTTTTTCCTTTTTTATTAGTTACTAGTTAATGAATCAACTTCTAAAAAGCATAAGCCTGCACATTACCTAATGAATATGTAGATTTGGCTTAATGAGACAAAGTGTGGTACTAATTAGTACTTTGATTGGATGTACTGAATTATCCGTTTTTATGCAATCATATAAATTTTAGATTTTCCCAAAAGGACAATACAAAAGACTCATTTGCAGGAATTATGATACATAAACTGCCATAGTACAATCGAAGATCTGAAAATACATTCTCTTGACGATTGATAATGTTTGCTCTTTCGCTAAAAAAATCGTAATATGCAATTGAAAGATATGTCTGACCATGTCTTCTGTGGTATATCAGTTGATGTTATATATCGCAAAAAGATATTGTTTTATTCCATTTAAATTATATATCAATCTAGAATTGTGGTAACATGATATTCAATGACACTAACCATACAATAAATAAAGACTGTCATATGCTTCTTGTTATGCTCAAGCAAGTCACACGTACATATTTCGTACTAAATGAGACATTTAGTGTTTCTTTTTTTATAACATATACCTTCAAGTCATATACGAGGATAATTTCTTTTCTTTATTATCTGTGAATTGTCATGCATTCTTGGCAAAAGTGGTGAGGTGGTTTTCATTGACTGTTCTGGCTGTTAGCAGCATTTACTTTGTAATTCCTCATTCCGTTAGATTTTTCACGTTACTCGCATGCTCCATCCACGGCATAGCATTTATCAATAGAACCACATTTCTCTATAACAATAGGTCTGCAGATCTTTAGCTTCTAGTTTCAAATATATAATGATAACCACAGGCCGTAAAAAAGAGGTAACCACAAAGTAAAATCGATATATTGTATAGCTATTTATATATCTATATATTTTAAGATATTTTTATGTTTATACATTCTTTTTACAGATAAAATATTTAAGCAAATGCTCTGTTTTATAATAAACAGTACTAAACAATATTTACCGGCCTGAATGTCCGAGAAATTTTCACAGAAAAATTCGAACCTGTATCCTATACGGAACCGTCATTTAGCTTGACGTGCCTTTAACCAATTTGGCCACAGAGGAGCGTTCGGCTAGCAAGGTCGAATTTACTGTATTTGAACTTCAATCTTCCATAAATCTCTCACGTACATTCATATCTATCTGCTCATGGCGTATCAAATGTAAACAAATGACGTCACACATTATGAAATGGACAAAGTCCGACAATTATTTTAAGACATTTTTATGTTTATACATTCTTTTTATAGATACAAATATTTACGTAAATGCTCTGTTTATAATAAACAAAATATAACAAAGTCCGACAATTATTTTAAGACATTTTTATGTTTCTACATTCTTTTTATAGATACAAATATTTAAGTAAATGCTCTGCTTATAATAAACAGTATTAAACAACATTTACCGGCGTGAATATCCGAGATATTTTCATAGAAAATATTCGTCCTCCGAATACAGTAAATTGCTAACCGAACGCTCCGCTATGGCCAATGTACGTGAGAGATTCCTAGAAGATTGAAGTTCAAATACAGTAAATTCGACCTTGCTAACCGAACGCTCCTCTGTGGCCAAATAGGTTAAAGGCACGTCAAGCAAGATGACGGTTCCGTATAGGATACAGGTTTGAAACATGTCGGGGGACGAATATTTTCTGTGAAAATTCTTCGGACATTTAGGCCGTTAAATGTTGTTTAGTACTGCTTATTATAAACAGAGAATTTACTTAAATATTTGTATCTATAAAAAGAATGTATAAACATAAAAATGTCTTTAAATAATTATCTATCTTTATATATATATATATATATATATATAAGATTCAGCTTTAGGCACCTAGAGGCGGTGTAATGGTTAGCAAGCTTGTTTCGCTAGTTACTACTGGGTAGTGAGCTCGACCGTCACTGGGTGTCCACAACTTTCAGCCTTGTGCCAATCTAACCTACGCTTGGAAAATTCCTATATAAAGTTGTAGCCTGTATTTTTTTCTGTTTGTTTGTCATAAGATGAGACTCTTCCAAGAATTCTGGAGATACCCCACCTAACCATATATATTCTGAAGCTACATTAGCCATGGTACTTGGGTTAGGGTTAGGTTCATTTTGATCAAAGGGAGTCCCCGGAGAGCACCTCCAACACACATTGAATTTTTTCCCCTTTGATATAAATTAAATTTTAATTTGGACAAGGAAATGACTTTTACGGTACTTGGATAAGTATATTCCATTTTGATCAAAAGACGTCCCTCGGCGGTACAAACCCGCCACTAATTGTATCCCTTTGATTTAAATTAGATTTACATTTGAACAAGGGAATGTCTCCTATCCAAAATATAGAAGTAAAAAAAAAAAACAGAAGATGGAAGCCACATCAGCAAGATCATTGAATAATATGGAATATTGAAATATGTGACACGGAACAAGGCGCGGGTAATTCGGCTAGTATGTTATATACTGAGAAAATATGAAGTTGTTTAAAAAAAAAACACATGTTATATATATATATATATATATATATATATATATATATATATATATATATATATATATATCGGCTCTATCAAGAAGTTTATCGCCCACTTTTGTACGAGATCTAAGTGATTTCCTCGTCTGTGAAATGATCTGCAGATATACTGTTCGCGTATAACTCAATCAATAGGACGAGAATTGACAATAATTACTTGTGAGAAGCCTTAACCAGGAAGGAACAAGCGATAAACTTGACATGATCCAGTTAATGAGGTTGCGTGTAGGTGTTAGCGGGTTATCGCTAGTTCAGCTCCAAGGTCAGCACAGAGAATGCGAGGCATATGGAAATGCAAGACTCAAAAATATTCCTGAAAACACAATACGCAACCGAGACAGACATACATAAGAACTTTTCCAGCACTTTAATAGTTCAAAAAGATATCTAAACTGGAATGTATTAGATGAAAATGGCAAATAAAAAAAGGGCTAAGTTTGGTGAAATGTACCTGAAAATGATTTCTGGCAATTAATTTAGATTGATGAATGATGTACAACATTGGATGAAGCTGACGAATGAGATAGAGTATCTTTTTTTTTTCAAAGGGAAATATTCAAAACTCTGAAAACTGATGACAGCTCCCAAAATTCTGAAATTGCAGAAGGCTATTTGACAATTTTTTTTTTTTTGTGGGGAGACAAATACCAAACGAAAATACTTAAGATGACGCAATTCACTCCCCAAGAAGTTTGGAAACTGTACGTTGTACAGCTTGGCATTTGCGCCGGCAGCTCCAATACAAACATTTCGGAATGTTTAGTATCAATCAGCCCTACCTCGTCAAGGCACTTGTTGTAGGCCCCTGTGTTGAGTCTCCGGACCAGTGAAGAGGGCGCTGTGTCCCCAAAACACGTACCGTGAGTAATGCAAACTAAATATCCAATCAACATCATGGTTATTGGAATGATAACAGGTGTTGTTATGCCTCCATTCATCTTCTCACTGGGCCTCAGACTCAACACAGAGGTCCACATCAAGTGCCTAGAGGAGATAGTGCTGCCCTGGTTCAAGTAGGTGGCTGCTGGAGTGATCTAAATCTGGCAAGAGGACTCTGCACCATGGCACACAAGCAGGAGAATCCAGTCATAGCCAACAGACAATTTCTGCGACCCACATCTCCTCTTACATCTGGCCACCTAACTCCCCGGACTGCAACACACTTGATTGTTATGTGTGTGACACAATTGCTTGAGAAGCCAATTAAACTGCTTGTAACACCTAAGATAAGCTTAAGGCAAGGATTATGGCAGCATTCAGCAACTTAAACAAGGAGACTGTGCAGAAGTCGTCTGAAGTGGCTGAAGCCAGTGGCGATTTTATTGAATAAATTTACTTTTTTAGTAATTTAGGATATTTTTGTGTAATTTTGGTAAATATATCTGTTAAAATGCTAGTGTTATTTTCATTTTTGCGTAATTTAGTCGAAAATGTATCTATCGCATACTATATATAGAGAGAGAAAGACAGATTGAAAGTCCGTGAGAAATAGATAGATAGATAGATAGATAGATAGATAGATAGATAGATAGATAGATAGAAAATGATATGTTAATGAAATATATATTTATGTGGTCATTATCTATTCGATTTATTCATAAATAAAATTAACTTGCACCTATATTGTTCACATAATTATATCTGACACACCGATTATAGATATCATAAATTATATATATATATATATATATGTGTGTGTGTGTGTGTGCGTGTGTGTGTGCATAAAGGCAAAATACCATATAAAATTGTTTGACTTTGAAGTTCTACATCGCCGATCGGTCAAGGTACGATGCATCCGACGCTGGTTTCTCCCGCAAAAAGAAATGCAAGTAAGAAATCATGGAGTCAGGATTCGAACATTTTCTTTATTAAATTTCATACATTTTTGTTATTAAATTTCATAGATTTTTGTTATTAAATTTCATACATTTTTGTTATTAAATTTCATACATTTTCTATATTAAGTTTCATACATCTTCGTTATTATGTTTCATACATTTTCGGTATTAAGTTTTCTCGAGTGCGCAGGCCGGTATACGAACTAACACTGTCTAAAAAATGGAGTCTCTACACAAATACGTGTATTTACTAAAAATAACCGTTCAAGCAATATATATATATATATATATATATATATATATATATATATATGAAAAAAATATACAGAAAAAACAAACAAAAATCTTAATATGCAATTATGCTGTATTAATGTTAATATAAAGTCAACGTCGGACGTTTCGGTCTATTTAAGACCATCTTCAGGACATTTTCATTTAAACATAATTAACATTAGAACATATAAAAATTCAACACGAAAAGACGATGGACATAAGAGCACAACTAATTCAAACAGACGTTGACTTTATATTAACATTAATACAGCATAATTGCATATTAACATTTTTGTTTGTTTTTCTGTATATTTTTCTTCATACTGTCGGATCTATATCCATATATTTGCTTACATATATATATATATATATATATATATATATATATATATATATATATATATATATATATATAACCTGTACTACCTGCCCTATGCTCTGGATATCGGATATTAAACCGTTTATCCACTAGACTTTTCAGGTTAGTGTTTAGATACCCAACCGGATCACAAACATCAACGGCTCAAGAGCGAGAGGACGTTCGTGTAGGGCCAATCGCCATCTAGCCCTAACGGAGTTCCATAGACACGTAGGCAGCCAATGCAGTGATGACACGATATCGCTGTTGATAGGGCGTCCTAGACTTAAGTCAACGGCAAAGGATGGAGTCAATTGCTGATGTCTGTGACCATGGCGAGCCCTCACGTTACAGAACATTGAACGTGCTTTGACCTGGAGAGCGAATAGGTCCGTCAGGTCTGTTATCGCACCATGCGCTCTTCACAAATGGATATCATTCTGACATTCAGGAGAGCACTGACCATGCACTCTGCTGAGCAACAACACTGCGACCACACTCAGTCATGGGACTAATGATGACGACGACGATGATGATGACGATGATGATGATGATATGAAATTCAAACGATGTATTTGTCAAATATAAGCTTATGGTGAAAGTTTTATAAATGCAAGTTGATTGATCCATATGTTATTTTGACATTATAGCCGCAATTCCCCATGTATAATACGCACTTTTTTCTAAACAAATAAGCAAAAGTAAAGGGGCGTATTATACACAGCTAAAAATCTTTCTAAAATTTCAGTTGCGAAATCATTACTCATCACAAATATACGACAATTTGACACTGACATTGCGACCCCATAAGGATGTCAAATACAATTATATGTACCTAACAATACTTAAAAAATATAAAATAAAATAAGAATTATCAAAAAACTAAATTATTCTATGTTTAAGATCATTTTTTTAATAAGAGTAGGAATCGCTGGCCGTAAAGAAATTGGAGAGGTACAGCATATAATGTTTGATTACCAAACAAGGAGTGCGTATTATGTGTGAGTAGAAGCATTTTCCCACATTTTCAGCACAATTTCAGCTGTGTGTTTTATGGACGGCAGCGTATTATACATGGGGAAATACGATAATTATTGGTTAAGTTTGTTTAGCGGTATATCAACGCCTCTATAGGTTATTTAATGCCAAAATCTAAATATTTTGAACACATTTGTATGCCTTCGATTAGAGATCAAATGTATTGTTGGGAATTTTACTCTATACGTGTTGTCGGCAATTCTTTAAATATAAAAATATATTGCTGGTATTTTTAATATAAAAATCTAATTTTATACTTTCATAGTGCTTTTTGTTTGGAGGTTCAATAATTTCCCATAGCTGGGACCCTAACAGGTGCTACCACCACAATATTAATTATAAAATCGAAGCTTATATATAATATAAACTGGGCACATTGCAACGAATAAATCTTCAGCATGCAAACTTCGCATACTCATAATAGCGCATGAATTTCGTTTCCTATTGTTTTTCTTCCTTTTTTTTCCTTCTGTTTGTGCTCTTGTGCCAGACAGAGTTAAGCGTTGTAAATACGCTTAATCCGCTGACAATGGTATCAGATGTCTTCTTTTGTTTTAATGTTTAATGAATCTAAGAAAAAAAAATACGAAAGGAAATAAAAGGAACATTGTCTTATAAAAGTGAAAACCTGTCTTAATTAGAAAAAAGTGCGATAGTAATTAGTAAATTGATTGGACGTTATTGAATTAACAGACCAATTCTTTTGGAATTAAACCATTTTTAGATAAATATCTCAACAACAGGTGGCACTTTATCAACAGCCTCTGGGATAAATCTTCATTTCTTCTTTTCCTTTTATTTCTCTGTCTTCAGATCTAGCCAATTTACAACGAAACTTACGATTGGATAATTCTATATAGTGTAAACATTCAGTTTACAACATAGAATAATTTCGATCTGGAATCGGATCCTTTTTTTCGGTAACATTATGGTTAGAGTAAATAGAATAGACTCCCTGATAACCGGACTAAAAAGGTCTTCCGAATATGAGGAATTGGTTGCAAAGTCCGGATATGAGGGGTTATATTTAGATTAAAATAAAAGAACTGAAATCATGTTTTACAATTATTTTCAATGTTTTATAGTAAACAAAAAAAGCTAAGTGAGTGAAATATAATGATTTTAAGGAAAAAAGAAATAAATTATGTAATGCTCATGAAAATTCATTAAATAAAATATGCCACGTATGCAAAACAAATAATGTAACGAGGATTTTTTTAATCGGTGTTGCATGATGCTTCTTTCTCTTCTAATGTCATTCTCAAATTTTTCCGCATTTCGTTTTGCTTTTGTTCTTGAAATTTCTTAAACCAAAGACACTTTTTTTAAAACTCTGCGTGCGGTATTGCAATCGTCATAGCTGAATGCTGGCTTTCTTTGCATAAAACTGAAAACCTTTTCAGTAGCTTTTTCAATTTCAGTCCCGGTTTCATCACGATCAATCACCTCGTCAATATCTTGTTGCAGATGTTCCCGTTGTCATCCTTTCCTCTTATTCCCATCATATTTTGTACCAATACCAGCCATTATGGTGAAATAAGCATAAACGATTATCCAAAGTGAATTTCCTGAAAAACAGAAATTTCAAATCAGTTATATATCAACCAAATAGTTCAAATATACACATCAAAGTCATATCCGGATATGCGGGATTCCGGATAGGCAGGATTCCGGATATGAGGCACTCCGGATATGTGGGATTTCGGATAGGAGGCACTCCGGTTATGAGGGATCCCGGGTATGAGGGATTCTACTGTATTATTTATTAACCAATTCTTTTCAACATCTTTTAACGTCTTTTCGAAAGCTCTAAGAAGACTTCTGGCAGGGTATTGGGGCGATTAATTTTTACTAAGGCAGTAAGATGATTCGACCCGAAGAGCATTGATTGGGACAAATCATTTTATATTCGCATTTGTCTAAATTTTTCTCTACATATATATATTTTAGACGTACTTGAAGCATAAAAGGGATGCGTTGTATATGTGTCTCGATCCATAGCCATTAAGCGAAATTTTGACTACTTCTCTAGTCTTATCCATAGACAACGTTTTGCATATTCCTGCCACGGCTTATTTCCCGTGATATCCGCTTTTATAAGGCAAGGAGGTTTCAGGTGATTTTTTTTCTTCATTTTTCCTCAGATGACGATTTATTCGAAAATCGTACTATCCAGGATTTGTTTCCACCCAATGTGTTTAAATAGATTTAAATTATATATATATATATATATATATATATATATATATATATGTGTGTGTGTGTGTGTGTGTGTGTGTGTATTTCTGAGACGAGATATTGTAATTATTTACACTTTTTACATTGTTCGAGTTGTTGTCTACATCTTCGTTATAATATTCACGACGCTTCGGCTGTTGTACGCTCCGGTCTTCTTCAGGTGATTGGAACTTCGTACAATGCCGTAAATATGCCAACAAAGTTGAGGAATAGTGCAAATATATATATATATATATATATATATATATATATATATATATATATATATATAAAAACAGACCACTTTAAGTTTCAATGTAATAAATTGTCACCACAGCCCTTTTAAAAGGACTGCGGATCATCAGACTTTACTTCCAAACAAAAAATGAATATATATATATATATATATATATATATATTGAACAATAAAAAAATAAAAAAAATAAAAATTGAAATTCTTTAGACACATTGGGTTGTAGATATATATATTCTTTATATTTTTTATATTAAAATTCCATTATAAAACTCCTTCTCTCTCTTTCTCTTTCTAGTGCTCAATGTCTATATATATATATATATATATATATATATATATATTTTGAAGATTCAAACAAAAATGAAAGTAGCGAAAATATATATAAATATATTTATATATATATATATATATATGTGTGTGTGTTTGTTTGTTTGTTGTGTGTGTGTGTGTGTGTGTGTGTGTGTGTGTGTGTGTGTGTGTGTGTGTGTGTGTGTGTGTGTGTTATCGTATCCGAAACAAAAGTGAATACGGTGAAACGAACTGGAAAATTTTTTTTATTCTAGTTGCGTTTCGCCAGTGAGGCTTCCTAAGTTTAAACTGAAACAGAAATAAATTTGAATATGGGGAAAAAAACCCTAAGATAAACGCACTGCACATCAAAAGGCCCAAGATCCACTCAAGGATTAGATGAGCAATAAGAGTTAAGAATGGCAGTTTATGAGATTATACGGGAAAGATGACAATGAATCCTAACATTACTTGCTACAGTTTCTTTTATGGCTTCCCAAGGATATTCTTTGAATATAGTTTTCTATTTCCATATAAATTATTAATGTTTTATCACGCGTTTTCTTTCGATTAATATCTCGAGAGGCTGGGAGTGATTCTATTAATTTGATATCTGTTACATCTTTTATGGCAAGTGGAGTTTTGTAGAATATGCAAGAGCTTTCTCTAGCATTAAATATGGTCTTTGAGTTAAAGTTTCTTGATCTTGATCTGTATTAACCAAAAATATATCATCCAAAATTTCAAATAATTGCTTTACATTTAAAAATAACAGCAGTTATGAAGAGCACTAAAGTTCTATTTTCTATCATTTCACTCCAAGCAAGGCAATAAAGCCACTAAGACGCAAGAGGTTCCTGAGTGTCAGAGAATATTAGAAAAACATGCTATTAAGGAGAAAGGACAATAAAATAAAAAAAAACTAGGAAGACAGAAAATAACAATTGACAGTGCATTTAATTTTTTAAACTCTTATTTATATATATTGTCATATATTATGAAATGGACTAACCGGGGGAGAAGAATCATTGGGAAGAATTAAGTTGGATATACTAGATTTTGTGTAGTATATGATTAATTTATTTTTTTTGCTAGGATTGGTAGTTGATATATTAGTATTTACTAATTTTTTTTAGTATATTTTCATCTTGTTTATAATTAGTATGCATTTGATTACGATATAGGAGATTAATATTTTTGAGATCAGTAGAAGCAGTATTATTTACTATTTGCTTAGTATTGAGATTTCTAAGAAAGTATCTTATTTGTTCATCAACTATATAGTTTGGAAAGCTATTATTAATAAGTGTTTGTTTTATATTCTTTAGTTTACTGTAAAAAATCTGTTTTGTGGATGAATTAGTTTCTGCACGATGTATTCGATTCTTTATAATTGCTATTTTGTAGTAATATGGGCATTCGCTTTTAGGCACAATGACGGTTCGTTACAGCGCTGGGAAAAGGGCGGAAGCCGAGATGCCAGGTCAGGACTAATAATATTACTAATATAGTAGTAATATAGCCTCATAATACTCACTTTCTAAGACCTTCACTTTAATTCATATCACACATCAGGTTCGTATTTGTTGTTTTAAGTGCTACACTCTACCTTGAGTACCTCTCTAGTCTTTTGTCGGCTGAATCAACAAAAAAAAAATTATGACCGATTTTTTTAATACAGGAATGGCAAATATAGATTATTCTCAAAGAGATTTTTATATATGGTGATGTTATACAATAAATAAATAAAAAAACTCAACGCTATTTTCTTTTTAATTCGGGAAATATTACAAGACTTTCTCGGTTCTTAACTTGATCTTTGCTTGTTTTGTTCATATGAACTAATTTCTCTGTGAGGGACAAATTAGATACAAGTATTTATATCTTTCTATATAATTTATTTTATAACGTAGTATATAAAAAACTCTTCGAGAATAATGTATGTTTATATACTTTAGAATGCACATACCTTTAGAAGTGAATTTACACTGTTAAAAAAACACAGATATGTCTAGTAAAACTAGGGTATCCATTAAAACGTAACGCTTAAAATGATGAAAAACAAATAACTGTTCTATAATAGATATGTTTTCACAACATATAATAAAATATGAATAACATATATTAAACATATAATAAAATGAATAAATATTGAGTTACATAATAACGTCCAACACAGCCAATGATGGTATCGGTCATATTTCTCCTAAAATCGGGTATTATTATATGGCGAGATTCATATGGTTTATTTATCATAGAAATATAAGAATATATTGAAAAACTGTGCAGATATTGACTGGAGTAATGTAAATTGATTATAATATATGCAAAGAATCGTAGACGATCGCTCGTGTGAAGAAAGCTGGAAGTGACGAAAAGAACGGAAAATAAAAACAAAAAAATAAATATCATGTACGATAGATGACGTCTGAACAAGTAAAACTTTCAGACTTGTTTTGTGTAAGAAAATTCAACTATTCTTTCCCTCACCCATTCAATTCCTTTTTCTATCTGTCCGATAGATTCATAAACATCTATCTATCTATCTATCTATCTATCTATCTATCTATCTATCTATCTATCTATTTCATAAACATCTATCTATACCTGTTCCTATCTATCTATCTATCTGCTTCATAAATATCTATCTATACCTGTTCCTATCTATCTATCTATCTATCTATCTATCTATCTATCTATCTATCTATCTCACTTCATATCTATCAATCTCAGTTTATATCTATCTATCTATCTATCTATCTATCTATCTATCTATCTATCTATTTCATAAACATCTATCTATACCTGTTCCTATCTATCTATCTATCTATCTATCTATCTATCTATCTATCTATCTGCTTCATAAATATCTATCTATACCTGTTCCTATCTATCTATCTATCTATCTATCTATCTCTATCTCACTTCATATCTATCAATCTCAGTTTATATCTATCTATCTATCTATCTATCTATCTATCTATCTATCTATCTATCTATCTGCTTCATAAATATCTATCTATACCTGTTCCTATCTATCTATCTATCTATCTATCTCACTTCATATCTATCAATCTCAGTTTATATCTATCTATCTATCTATCTATCTATCTATCTATCTATCTATCTATCTATCTATCTGCTTCATAAACATCTATCTATACCTGTTCCTATCTATCTATCTATCTATATTTTCTCTTTTATCTATCTATCTATCTATCTATCTATCTATCTACTTCATAAACATCTATCTATCTATATCTGTTCTATCTTTGTTCATCTCTCTCTCTCTCTCTCTCTCTCTCTCTCTATCTATCTATCTCTCTATCTATCTATCTCTGTTCATATCTGTCTATCTCTGTTTATATCTATCTATTCGCTTCATAAACATCTATCTATCTATTTATCTTCGCTCATGCTTTAGTGCGCAGGCGCATGAAAATAACGACTTTTCTTTTAACGCAAGGGATCCGTATTTTGTTTCCGCATTTCGATGTTTGATCAAGGGATCCACATATTTTTTTTTCTTTGTTGTTCTTTTTGAAAAGGGGAATATTCAGCATTGTTTCGTTTTCTATAGAAGCCAATTAAACGTTTGTTTATTTCGTATAAAAGCCGATTTGTATGATAATCTTTTAAAGGAAAGACAATTGGCCTTTTCTTTATATTTTTGTTTTTTATAATGGACGCTAATTGGGCCATTTTTTTCACTGAGAGAAGACGATGCGCACAAAACATACACACCTACATGCATGAACACACACACACACACACACATATATATATATATATATATATATATACTGTATATGATTTTATTATTCAAGTCAACGTTCTCACAATATAATTGGCGTTAACTAACTGAAGTTCTCAAAAGCTTCTGGATATAATTATGTGGGTAAAACATTACATGTGTAAGCCTGGCATCCTGTTTCTAATATGAACGTATCCCTATTAAAACTTGTGAAAATAATTGTCTTGAGGGATTTCCATTATTTTAAGTAAACAATTAAGTGCGAAATAAGTGTCTATTTACGAATAGATCCAAAAATTATAGGCAACAAAAACACTGAACAACATGTACTTGAATCAAGTATTAACTGGCGTCTTTTAGATGCAGAAACACTAACAGCCCCTAAATAATTAAATTACTAAACCGAATCAATTTCAGCTAAAAGAAAAAAATGTTTTCTGTTGGATACCTAACCATATCAACATAGACGAAATTGGGAAGCTGATATGATAGCAAAGGAATCCTTAAAAATGAACATATCAAATTTGAAAACCTCTTATAATGTCTTCAAAGCAACTATGAGCTGATACATTTAAAACAAGTGATAGAACTGACACTTAAAGAACAAACATTACGAAAGTAAATGTTTCATATTTTTCCAATCATGAACCAGAATAGAACACAATTATAACACTTATTCATTTTTTTCTTTATTGCTTCTGTCGATTACTTTTTTTTTGTCATTTTTTGTTTGTTTTTTGCATTTAAATGTTTTTTTTAGAGAAGTATCGTTTCCTAGAAGATAAAAACTTTCCTGGCGACATATAGATATTACTTACCAGTTAAGTCAAGCAGTGTTCCTATCTATCTATCTATCTATCTATCTATCTATCTATATTCAAATCTATCAGGTCATCCCATAAGTTCTGTCCGAATTTTACCTTTTTTTTTTAAATGAACGAAATTAAAAGAGTATTTTATAGTGTCTAATGGAGCTGAAAATTATTTTTTATGTTTAGATGCATTTAAACTGATCAAATCTTATTTCAGAGAACAATAAAATTAAATTTGGTTTGATTAAAACCCTGCTAACATGGAAGTACCCAAGAATCATTTAAGGTACATAATGCTTTATGAGTTCAAGAAAGGAAACTCAGCAGCCGAAGCGGCTAGAAACATTCACTCAGTTTATGGAGAGGAACGTTTGAATGAAAGAACTTGCAGAAGATGGTTTGCAAAATTCAGAGGTGGAGATTTCACCCTTGAAGATGAAGATCGAATCGGACGTCCAGTTGAGTTTAATGAAAAGCTTCTTGAAGCAGCCCTTGAAGAAAATCCTGCTTTATCATTTGAGGAATTGGCAGTGATTCTCAGATCAAACCATACAACTGTTCATCGTCATCTTCAACAACTTGGAAAAGTTCCTAAACTTGGAAAATGGGTGCCTCATGAATTTTCTGAAAACAACCTCAACTCCCGAGTTGACATCTGCTCTTTTCTCCATTCTCGCCAACTTGTTTCACCTTTTTTGGATAGACTTGTGACTGGTGACGAAAAATGGATCTTTTATCGAAATGTTAAGCGTCGTAGACAGTGGCTTGGTAAAGGTGAATGACTCCAGCCACGGCCGAGAAGGGAACTTCATGGGCAAAAGGTTCTTCTTTCAATCTGGTGAGATCGCCAAGGAATAATCCACTTTGAATTCTTACCACCTAATGCAACAATTAATAGTCAAATATACTGTCAGCAATTAGAGCGTTTGAACCAAGCTTTGAGGAAAAAAAGACCTGCTCTAGTGAATAGAAAAGGGGTGATGTTTCATCAGGACAATGCGCGATCCCACACAGCAAGAATCACGTCAGAAAAGATCGAAGAACTTGGTTGGGGGAAAATTCCTCATTCATCTTATTCTCCCGATCTTGCTCCTTCAGACTACCATTTGTTTCGTAGCTTACAGAATCATTTGGACGAAACAGCTTTTGTAACACAGGAAGAGGTTAAAACTGATATTTGTGAGTTCTTCGAATAAAAGCCAAAAGAATTTTACAGTAATGGAATTACTAAGCTTGTTAATAGATGGAAGGAAGTCATAGATAATCAGGGAAAATCCATTGTTGATTGAATCTGTAATTAAATGTAACATTTGGTCACTTGTTTTCTTTATTCAAATTACGGACAGAACTTATGCGATGACCTGATATATATCTGTCTATGCAAGTCTATTGGAATATATCTATCTATCTATCTATCTATCTATCTATCTATCTATCTATGTCTATTTAAATCTATATAACTATCAATGCCAGTATATTGGAATCTATCTATCTATCTCTCTGGTCTTTCTGAGTGTTGGACCTAAGGTGGGAAAAGACGAGCACTTTGTTCTCCTTTTGTCGCGTCATGGCTGAGGAGGAAGTGAGGTAAGGCATTTCTGATTGGTCGTTTGCTATTTCAAGATCAGCAGTGGCAGTTAGTTAATATGTCCGTTGTTGTGTGTTTGGCGGGAATTTGCTTTAGGATCGCCTCCCTGAAAAATTATTGTTTCGTTAGGGTCACTTGGGTGAACAGGTATGATGTTGAAAGACCCGAAACTTGTCATGACCCCAAGTCATAACATCACGGAGTCGATCCTGCGCAACTGCTGGAGTGTATCCATAACAAGTAAAATGTATAATTTTTAAATAGTCGCTATACATCTGCTTGAATTTGATTGAAACAAAGATTTTATCAAATTGAAATAGTATTTTTTTTATTATTATTATACAGACATCTATATATTCTCAGTACTTTCTAAACAAGTGACAAGAGTTATCGCAATGCTATCGAAACAACAAACTTTATAAAATTAAATCCATCCTAGGAGATGTTTCGCACTTTCTCTGAAGGAAGAAGTCGTTCTATCAAAAATTAGAATAGGAAACATCCATATCACTCACTCATTTCCCTCCTAACAAAGGAACATCCCTTTGAATGCACAGCATGTCACGCGACATATACTTCAAAATACATTTTAAACGATTGTAGTAAACCTTTCCTTATACGTCAACGATTTGGTGACATTAGTCTACAGGATTTATCCATGAAGATAAAGGTATAGTTTTTCTAGCCTATATTGAAAGAGATTGGTATATCCCACAGATTATAGCATTAAATAATCCGTAAACGGATTGGGATGCCCAAGGACGCATTCCAAATTCTGGGCAGAGTATTGCGAGACAGGAGGATTTCTTTGGTAACAAAGGAAAGAGCACTGAGCTGTTATGTGACATCTGTCCTCCTTTACGGCAGCGAATGTTGGACGGTCTCCTCAAAGATAAACAAGACACTCGAGGCGACGGAAATATGGTTCTACAGAAGGATGCTGAGAATATCATGGACGAAGCGTATGAGCAACGATGAGGTATTAAAAAGGATGCAAACAAGAAGGAGGCTTATAACCAATTGTAGTAACCTTGTCCTTATACGTCAACGATTTGATGACATTAGTTAGAAAAAAGTACTGAGCTGTTATTTGACATCTGTCCTCCTTTACGGCAGCGAATGTTGGACAGTCTCCCCAAAGATCAAGAAGAGACTCGAGGCGACAGAGATGTTGTTCTACAGAAGGATGATATCATAGACAGACTGTATGAGCAACGATGAGGTCTTAGAGAGTTTTGGTTTGGTTTGGTTTGGTTTGTTTTACGGCATATCAACCACAGTGGGTCATTTAATGTCGACAACTTGTTTTTCCTGGTAATATTTTTGTTTTGTCAAAAATCTATTTCTGCTAATACTTTTTCCTCAAAAATGTACAGCTGGCAATATTATTTTTTCAAAAAACATATCGCCGACAACACTATTCTTTCAAAAAAAAAGTATAGCTGGTAATATTATTTTTTCAAAAACGTACAGCTGACAACATTATTTTTTCAAAAACGTATTATCAGAGGCCTTGCTGTTGGATGTGGTTTATCGACATGCCCAGGACGCGGATGTAGTTTATTGTCATACCAAGGACGCGGATGTAGTTTATCGTCATACCCAGGACGCAGATGTAGTTTATCGTCATACCCAGGACGCGGATGTAGTTTCTCGTCATACCCAGGATGCGGATGTAGTTTCTCGTCATACCCAGGACGCGGATGTAGTTTATCGTCATACCCAGGATGCAGATGTAGTTTATCGACATACCCAGGACGCGGATGTAGTTTCTCGTCATACCCAAGACGCGGATGTAGTTTATCGTCATACCCAGGACGCAGATGTAGTTTATCGACATACCCAGGACGCGGATGTAGTTTATTGTCATACCCAGGACGCGGATGTAGTTTATCGTCATACCAGGGATGCGTCTTAGAGAAGATGCAAACAAGGAGGAGGCTTATATTTAACATCAGGAAGAAGAAGCTAAATTTTCTGGGACATGTAAAGAGGTAGTTGGGTGTGGAGAATCTGATACTCACAGGTCGAAGAGAGGGAAAAAGAGACAAAGGAAAACAACCCATGACATACCAAGCGGGTTTAAGGAAGTGGATGTGAGAACTTGTTCTGTGGAAGGAAGCAGAGAGACGGAACTTGTTGAGAGCTGCAAGGGATAGAATCCTGGGTATGACGATAAACTACGTCCAACAAACAAGGGTTGAGAGCCATGAAAGGACACGGCACATAAAAAGAAAAGAAATACCACTATTCTAGAGGCATAACTAGAAACTGATGGAAGCGTAGAGGACCGTGTGTTTAATGTGTTGTTGAATTAGAAACACGTGCCTTTTTATTCCTGCGAGAAGTTCCACTAACAGAAAATGGCGGATTTAGAAATTTGAATCCACCATAAAGACATGTAAAGAAAACAAACAATATATATATATATATATATATATATATATATATATATATTTACTGAAATCAAAAACAAGTGGTGAACGTGCTTGAACGCAATCTTCAGACAATCTTTAGTGTCTCTTGCTGTTGATGGCATATGTCTACTATTATATTTATTCACGACTTAGGTCGTATATTGACGAATTTTACACATAAAGATAGCATATCTAAACACTATTTTTTAAAACTGTATTTATATTTTATTATACCCCACTTCTGTATACTGCTTAAGAAACTGTCGGCCGAGTGTGCACAATATTATATATATATATATATATATATATATATATATATATATGTCAGCAAATATTTGTATTCAATAACAAATTTACAAGTTAGAAATTATATCAATATTTGTGTTTGTGTGTGAACGTAAAAAGTTTCTATTTTGTGAATGTTTGTACGTATGTGTATGTGAGTTTCATGGCTTTTTCCCGTAAGCGGGCAAAACGCTGATTTCTACAAGAGATTACATTTCTAGATGTGTCCGCTGAAATGGAAAAAAGAAAAGAAGATTTACCTCACCTCCACACGATATATGATGCGACACGAAGCCTGAAGATAAGAGAACGAGGCTGGATGTTGCCCAGTATTTATAGTGTAGGGAGAGCGACCCCTAGTGGCAATTAAGGAATTAAGGAGGAGCTAACTCCGACAAAAGTAAAGACCCCAAATATTGTTTACAAGCCATATACTTAAAAACAATTTTTCGACATTAAATTACCGATTGTTAATATGACGTTGAAGGAGAAAAAATTAATCAGCCAATAAGACTGCGATTTCATTTTATAATTGTTTTACATGAATTTACATTGGATTTATAATATCCTATCGGCATAATCAGCCTTCGATTCGTTTTGTTAAACCTTCTGTTGATTAGTCATTTAGCAAGGACTTGCAATAATTTCTACTGTATCCCATGTGTTCATGTTTGCTTGAATATTCCTTTTCGTCGTCATATATATCCCATAAATCCCATGTCATCTTTTTTCTTATTTTTATACCTGACTAGGCCCGTTAACTTAATATGGTGTATTTCGAACTTTATTCAATAAGGTAAGCAAAAGTTAACCTAACGGAATTTAAATGGGCCACCCTAACTTTAGCGTAAATTTCTTGGTCTGCATCATGTTCAATTGAAAATGCATCTTGTCAAAGCAACTCTTTTTTTCTGCTAACTGTTCACAATATAGAAGACCCATGAGCCTTTCACTGTAGAGAGTTACTGATTGACGTTGTTTCACGTTAGTTTGCACGGCCAGAGGCGTTTTTTAAGAAGATATATCGGAAAGGCAACGAGCAACCCTCACATTTAAAATGGTTAAGATGCTAGTGACCGGGGAAGCGTGATTTTGGGATTGGTCCACGAAGCAATTGTTCGTGAGAAGAAGCTGTTCCAATGAAACTTGCTTCGTCTTAACGGAATGTAAAGATGATGGCAGTGATTTCTTCCACTCTACATGGCATGACGGGGTTTTAGTTAGGAAGGTCAGTGCTGGTTGAACGAAGAACTGTAACCCGTCAAAATATTTGCCATTTTCTATTGACATATGGAGCAAATTTAAGGAATAACTAAATGCTTTCTATACGAATCCTATCTGAAGAGACTGGGGAGGATGTCATTTATATGGTGTCATTGAAAACGTTTTTAACAAAAAGACGTTGGGGGGAAATAAATCTTTTTGGCGGGAAGGGAGCAGTCTTTCAAATTACAATTACCAAGAACCAATAGGTGATGTTCATTACCAAAGAGAGATACCAATAAAATGTACCAACAGTAGTTTTATTTTCAGAGGTGACACATATCTTATGTTGTGATTATATTTTATGATAAATTGTATCAAAACTGTTTAAATATTTAAATATATATATATATATATATATATATATATATATATATAGATAGATAGATAGATAGATAGATAGATAGATAGATAGATAAATGGATGGATAGATATGAATAAACTGAATATAGGTAGGTAGATAGACATGAATATATTGAAGATAGATAGATAGATAGATAGATAGATAGATAGATAGATAGATAGATATTACAGGCAAATTCAGAGATAAACAGACTGAGACATATATGCCCAGATAGATAGATAGATAGATAGATAGATAGATAGATAGATTATTTACATTATTATTACCCTTTATTTCGCTCAATGCGGTAGACTGTTCTAGTTCCACGTGCCATGTCTGATGGATGTCAGTTATCAGTTATCTCCTGCTAATTTTCTCTCTGAAAGTTCTCCACTGCCTTAACCAGGTATAGAACTCACCTCCTTTGGGTCTGTTACTGGATCTAACCAACGCCTTTATCCACTGTGCCATGTGATGGTTAGATCCTGTGACAGGACCCAAAAACTGTAGTTTCAATACCCGGTTAAGGCAGTGGAGAATTTCAGAGGGAAATTAACAGGAGATAACTGATAACTGACATCCATTAAACATGGCACGTGGAACTAGAACAATCCACCCCAGTGAGCGAAATAAAGGGTTCAGTTCGACATTCCAACCACCTGAAGAATGCCGGAGCGTACAACGGCCGAGAGGTTGTGATAAATATGGCGACAAAGATGAGGACAATAATCCGAATAATGTAAATAATGTTCATAATACCTCATCTCAGAAATATAGACAGATAGATAGATATAAATATTTTGAAGATAGATGGATACAAATATGGGAGATAGACAGATAAATAGATAGATACATACATGTATACGAAAAGACTGAGATAGATAGATAGATAGATAGATAGATAGATAGATAGAGAGAGAGAGAGAGAGAGAGATATGAATAGACTCAATATAGGTAGGTAGATAGATATGAATATATTGAAGATAGACAGATACAAGCATGCATACATACATATATACATACTAATAGACTGAGATATATAGATAAATAGATACATATATACATACATACATACATACATACAAAAGACTAAGATAGATAGATAGATAGATAGATAGATAGATAGATAGATAGATAGATAGATAGATAGATAGATATGAGCACACTGATACAGAATAAGGCTACAAGATAAATAAATAAACAGATAGATATTAACAGACAGAGTTAGAAATGAACAGACTGAGGCATATAGATAGATAGATAGATAGATAGATAGATAGATAGATAGATAGATAGATATGAACGGTTTGATAGATAGATAGATATGAACGGCTTGATAGATAGATAGATAGATATGAACGGCTTGATAGATAGATAGATAGATAGATAGATAGATAGATAGATAGATATGAACGGCTTAATAGATAAATAGATAGATAGATAGATAGATAGATAGATAGATAGATAGATAGATAGACAAATATGAACGGCTTAATAGATAGATAGATAGATAGATAGATAGATAGATATGAACGGCTTAATAGAGAGATAGGTAGATAGATAGATATATTAATAGATAGATAGATCGATCGATGCCCAACCAAGAGAGTGAGAGAATGATATGAGAATATTTTGTAATATGTTCTGTCCGACTAAGAAATCTATATCAGAATTTATTTATTTAGCGGTTTAATTTTATGCAGTGAGTCGCGCTGAACCTTTTGATTAAGTCCTTGTATATATAGAAATGAGCAGTTTCCATGGTGTTGCATATATTTGCTGAGAGAGAGAGAGAGAGAGAGAAACACACACACACACACACATATATATATATATATATATATAGATAGATAGATAGATAGATAGATAGATAGATAGATATAGTGAAAAACTGAAAACATCAGTTGAATGGTAATTGCGGCAAACGAGTTCCATTTAGTCTGGAAGTCTCACAAGACTTCCATTGTGTTCACTGGAAGGTAAGTTGTATTTTTCGGTTTGTTATCAATGGAAACTAATCGGCACCAATTTTTTTTTTTTAAACTCTGGGACCCTTTTGGGGGATTACTTCATATAATATGAAAAGCCTGTTTTGTGTCGTTTTGATTTGTATGTGAACCAATTGGAGAAATTCGTCTCTTTTCGGCAGACATTGAATTTTCTGGAGATTTGCTTGTTCATTTTTCTATGGCAGCCAATTTGGAACAATGTCGTTTTCTATAGAGGCCGATTAGGGACATTATTGTTTTGTATCACTGTTAACAACTCGTAGTATTTTTTTCTGTATGGAAGCCCAGTTTACAAACATTTTACACTATTGGCGCAATGTCTCTTATTGTAAGAAAATGTTCAATACGCGTGTTAGTCAATAAGACGTCAGCCTGATATAGTCTTCAAATAAATTTCGAAAGTTGGTGCATTAATTGCATTGGCAATGACTTATATAATGTCGAGAATACAATACAAGTGGTTTAAAAGAAAATCAGTCATGTCACCCCATGTAAGGCAATTAAGCCACTAAGATACAAAGGGTTACTGAGTGGAAAGAATGAGAAAACAATATTAGGGAGCAGGAACAACACAAGTGTAACCAGGAAGACAGTAGATAACGACTGACATTACATTTAAATTAACAGTTGGCTGGAAGGCAAGGACCCGGAAGAATGTTAGATAATTGAGGCGTGCGAGAATAGAAACTTTTCTCAAAGAACTCACGGTGACCTCTAGCCTATTCAACAGTAAATTGTTGAGACAGTATTGCCAATCTATTACTGGGCGTAAATTTATAAAGTCTAGGTACCCTAGCGAAGAGCTCATCTGAACAATTACCATAGTTATATAACATGGCACACTGGGAAGTCACTTGCATTTAAACTCTTGCAGATTAAAGTTGGCAGGAAAGCATGAAACCAGAACGGATTTCCACAGTCGAGAATTGTGAGAAAAGAATCTGTCAGCACAGAAATTACTGCAACAACTAACTCAACTGTAAATAGATGAGATCTCGCCGCTAATCAAGTATTGTGTTTAAATTTATACAATCCAGGTTCCATAATGGAGAGCTCAACCGAACAATTAGCATGATAGAAAAGACGCAGACAGGCAACCATTAATGGTAGTAAAGTGAGTAAAGCCGAGCGACCAGATCAAGACCAATAATATTGCTGATTCTTCTTTGGATTTCATGAAGAATCTCTAAATATATGGCAAGAGCACCGGGCCAAGTGGCAATAATATTCAAGGCCAGGACGAATATTAGAATTATAGACATGCAAGATTTTCTTATTTGTTCGGTATATATTTATTTTTTTGCTATATATATATATATTATTTGGACTATTGTCCTCATCTTTGACGCCATATTTATCACAACGTTTCGGCCGTTGTACGCTCCGGCCTTCTTCAGTTGGTTGGAATGTCGAACTAAACCCTTTATTTCGCTCACTGGGGTAGACTGTTCTAGTTCCACGATCAATGTTTAATGGATGTCAGTTATCAGTTATCTCCTGTTAATTTTCCCTCTGAAAGTTCTCCACTGCCTTAACCGGGTATTGAACTCACACTCTTTGGGTTCTGTCTCTGGATCTAACCAACGCCTTTATCCACTGTGCCATCGGAAAAAATATATAATACACAGTAAAAACTAAATTCCCTTCATATGGGGAATAAACTTATTTCAACCGACGTAATTTCCAGTCTTATTCAACCCCGGATATAGACTGAGTTCATGTCGGAATTAGAAATTTAACTGTGACAGCAAAAAAAAAAGTTCGAAAGACTAATACAGAAATTATCATTTTAATGTTTCAGACAGACGAAACGTACGAGACAAGAGTCACTGGAGGGGGGAAAGGTTTTATAAAATTAAACCCAGACATTAACATTATGACATAAAATTGTGGAATGAAATGTCAATTTGAAACTAAGATAGGAATAAAAATGGGTTAAATAACTTTCCTTATAGATTAAATTTTACATCATATATATATATATATATATATATATATATATATATATATATATATATATATATATATATATTTTTGAGGAGAGTTTCAAGAAATGAAAATAAAAAAGCTAATATATAATTTCAAAAAGTTTTTAGCTTTTCAAAGGAAAAATTTTTAAACTGGAAAATCAGATGTCTAGAACAACACCTGAAAACCTTCTAAACAAGGGAAGAAATGCCTAACAATACATCTCATCAGTGTGTGAGTTGCACAGCTGCCATTTTGAATAACTTCAAAAATTTGCTTTGGCATGGCCGATATAATCGCCTGCAGAAGGTTGGCTGGGATTTTGTTCCACGTGGTGACGATGGTTTCACGAAAATCAGGCTGTGTCTGGAATTGATGTCTATTTCTACAGACTTCCCTCGCTATCTACCCCCAGACATTTTCAACTTTGGTTCAGGTTGGAACACGGGATGGTCCAAAAGATTCTATTTGCCATGAAAAAAGTCCTTTGTCCTGTGGGCATTATGGATTGCAGCGTTGTCCTGCTGAAAAATTCAGTCATTTACGCACAAGTGAGGGCCTTCAATCAATATGTTTTCTCCAAATTAAAGCTTCGTTTAAATACGGTGTTAAGCTTATGACTAGCTAGTATTTCACCTTATTTCTCAAGATTCAAACTGCCCTTATTAAATGCTAAAAAAAAGTTTAATTTTAATTTTTCCTTTTTTTATTTTCATTTTTCGAAGCTAGACGTAAATAAGTAAATTGAGTCTAAGAACGGAAATTGTACATTTTTTTTATTTTCATTGTCCTGCGACGTCGCCCCGGCCTCTCTCTGTCCCCGTTTTATCCTGTGACGACCAATGTGACTTGGTATTGGTCGCAGCACCAAATGTGACGTTCTAACCTTTTGCTGATTCGGATGGTAATCTGGTTAGAGTCGGTATCAGCCTTGTCGTTCCCAGCTCGCCTCCAATGTCTGGTTACCGAAGTAACTGCTTTAATTTCTAGTCTAACCTACCCACGTTGTGATTTGATCTTAGGTAGACGAAATCAATCAGTCACCGGGCCGTAATGCAAGCCGAATTCGAGCAAAGGTGATATCGCACAAGTATATGTAAAAGAAAATAAAGTAATAACTCGAAAAGTTCGAATGTGTTAAAAAACGAATAACAAATATTTTTATATCTGCTTGCTGAATACAGGACTGCCTCTTTCTCCCAAACCGCTTCTATGGATACGTGACACTTTGCGTTTGTTAGGCGAGTCTTAATATCTTAAATTGTTTTTCGATAACTGTTTTTTTTTTGTATCTTCAGGTGATATTCGTAAAACTTGTTTTGGTGGTGTGAGTCTAAGTCGTTCTTCAAAAATAAATTGTTTTTGGTTAGAAGTCGAAGTAGGAATGCGTGGATATCTTTCAGTCAGCTTCCTGCAAGGCTGGTCTCAGAGCTCACTGCTCAACTCTGTCTGCGTCTGCGTCTCCACGGAACTCTGCCGAACTCTAACTCCAACTGCCGTCTACTAGCTGCGACTCTGTTTATATGGAAGTCGACCAAAACCGGGTGTGGCCTGTCGTGGTTTGTGTTCCTCGATAATTCTAAATCCACAATAAGTACTTTCTTAGTTTTCGGCAGCGCGGGTGTTTACAATTATCGCTCAAATGAAAAAAAAATATCTTCCCTTTTTTTTCTTTTCCTCCACCAGACCCCTACAACTCGTAGTGTGGTCCTTAATCTTTATCTTAACTGAAGGTCATATGGAATTAATCAATGAGATTTTCGCCAGCGTCAAATGGGTGGTCAACTGGACGTCTTCGCACCCTGTCGCCAATTATCTGTCCCAGTAACAAACTTTTGTCATGTCCAGGTTCGGACAATAAAACAGGTGGTCTCTTTCCAAAATGATATCTCCGAAAGATAGTTAATGGTTTATTCTTTCCCTTTCTCTCTGGGGTGGCCTCAGCTGATGCCTTTCTCGATCAGTGCGTGACCTGATTACGATTATCTTCCAGCTTTTGTTTCGTAGGCCACTTGACCAATTTGAAATTTTCATTATTGCCATGGGCAGATTGCTATCTTTTATTCGCCGCGTCGTAGCATAAATTAATTCCGATAGATCCGAGATCTTACGAATTTTATATCTTCTGCGAAAAAAAATACTTTTCTTCGCAAATGAAAATAAAATCTTTACCACTTTTCTTTGTTAAAAAATGCAACATCGCTCAGTATGTCTTTCGTGATAGCTTTTTCTCGCCTTAATTATTTCTCGCTTTTAATTTTCACGCAACCGCTAAATAGTGTCAGAGTCCTTAAGATTGGTCAGCAGTGTATATGTTTATATATACATATAAAATACACACAGACACACACACACACACACACACACACACACACATATATATATATATATATATATATATATATATATATATATATATTGTTGTAAACTAGAGGGTTACTGAATGAGGAATGACCAAAACGGATGTTGGAAAGAAAAATGGTAATCTTTGACATAAACAAAATAAAGTACTCGCCAGCTGCGAGAAGTAGGTAAACCACTGCTAGTGATGGACTATATAGACAGCATATTTCCCCCACTTAAAATAGTGTCCAATATATGACGATTGGTACATACCCATTAGTGTCCATAGGTACGGTATATAACATATATATAAGCTGAAGAATTTTTAGGGGCTTACGGCCAACTGAGGTCGAAACATAGCTTCTCGTTCGCTCACCGAAGATAAGCAATGTTGCACGTGGTCAGTACATAGATGGGTGACCTTTTGGGAATTGCAGCTGCTATAATCCTGGATGTGGAGTTGGTGTGATTGACAACGGCTCGAAATTAGTATTTGGAAAACCGAGTTTCAGTTTCAATCGGATTCGTAGCATTTACTGACACGCAAACAATCTTAGAAATGTAGAAATCCACCTATTCTCCCTTCGATATCTGTATTAAATATTTGGACATGTATCTGAATAATTATTGTTATCTCCAGAATATATTAATACAATACCCTCTGGTGAAAAAATCTTGCAAGCCATAAAATACGTATCGACTTTAAATAAGCTACAAAATTTTGACAAAAAAAAAATCACAACCGTCCTGGGTAAGACGATAAACTACGTCCGACAGCAAAACCTTTTCATCAAAAGGTTTTGAGTAGCGTGTAACAACCTCTTAATTGCTGGTGTTCTCAGGTCCACCCTGACCCGTGTTGGTAGTACCTGTCAGGGTACCAGGTATGGGCAAATAATTAACCTCACAAAAGGGGTCGAAATATTATGAAAGTATAAAAATAGGTTTTAATACCAGCAATACATTTTGGAAAAAATATTTATCAGCAATACACTTGAAAAAAATTACCTGCAATACATTTTTTTATAAAGCATATTACAAGCAATACATTTTTAAAAATATATATTACCAGCAATACATATTTGGAAAAAATATTACCAATAATACATTTTTGAATAAAAAAAAATTATTACCAATACCTTGTGGAAAAAAAATATTACCAGTAATACATTTTTGAAAAAAACAAATTATTACCAATGCCTTGTGGAAAAAAATATTACCAGCAATACATTTTTGAAAAAAAAAATTATTACCAATACCTTGTGGAAAAAAATATTACCAGCAATACATTTTTGAAAAAAAAATATTAACAAGAATACATTTTTGAAAAAAAAATATACCAAGAATACATTTTTGGAAAAAAAATATTACCAAGAATACATTTTTGAAAAAAAAAATATTACCAAGAATACATTTTTGAAAAAAAAAATATTACCAAGAATACATTTTTGGAAAAAAAAATATTACCAGTGATAAAAATTTTGTCGATATTAAATAACCGATTGAGGCTGGTATGCCGTAAAGCAAACCAAACCAAATCAAAACAAACTAAACCAAACCAATATATATATATATATATATATATATATATATATATATATATGTTCAATCCATCAACGTTTTTGAGTGTCTTTTTCTGATATGAACTAAAGGTGTATTTTATTTCCGTTTTACTTCAAACTTCGTGTCTCACATAATCAATCAATGATATTCTCAATATCCTCCTGAAAAAACTACATAACTGTTGCCTTATGTTTCCTCGACGTTTGCTAGAAAGGACGATATATTGCTTTGAATTTCTGTGCTTCTAATGCGTTGCTTAGCATTTGGAAAACACCTTTGACTATTTCAATGAGATTCCCTAACGTTTAAAATTCTATGAAGATTACTAACTTTCAGTCTTTACATTTTTCAATTTCCTTTCGCTCATCGCAGAACAATATTTTTGTCAACCAGTTAAATTCTGTCGATGTATCCACGTTACTTTGCGAGAATTAAGAAGAAAGAGATCGTTTGTATCTTCATGACAGGATTCACTATCTGAACCCAAACAAAATCAGATGGGGATGGTGTATTATTATTTTTTCTTACTGTGATAGGATTCAAAGAGAATTATTTATTACAAATTGCTGAAATCTGAACAAATTGTTACGATACCGCACTATACAGAACAATTGTTTAGACTGACATTATCGAGTTTTAAATGTGCTTTTTGAACTGCGTGCCTGGCGTACGTCTATTTAGTTTGAAAAATGAGCCTTTTTAAGTTGAGACCTTCGGATATTTTGAGTTGGATAGTCGAATCAGAAAAAAATATGTTATATCGATGTGTCACAAATAACATTTAACTGCATATCTTATTTGTATTTTAGTATTTAAACAGTTCGATAGAGAAATGCAACATTTGGATACTTTTAATTAGTTTTTTTTTTTCCTTTTGTGTGTAAGGAACAGAAATAATTGTATGAGTTTGACTTGTAAGAATGAAGTTTGTGAGCTGCAATACTTTTCAAAGAAGGCTGAGTTTTTCAGTTGATTTGAAGATATTAGACAGTAGTATATGAATAAAGGTTGAATTAAAGATCAGATATCAAATAAATCGGTTTTACTTCGTATTGCTTAATATCAAGTTTCTCTTTGTTATCGTATTAAAGGGAGAAAGAATGAGGTGACTGTTATTTTTTTTTCTTTTTAGTTCTGAGGCATTCTGCGCATTATTATACCATTAAGTGTTTCCTAAAAACACGGAGACCACAAAAATTGTATTGCACAAATGTGTTTCTTCATTTCCCTTTAAAAGCTTTTCATTGCCTAAAAAGCAAATATAATCTTTTGCTTCTGATCAACGATGAGCTGATATTTAATATCATTTGTCGACCGGGAAATAAATTCTTTAAGAGGCCTTTGTTCACTATTTATGTTATTCGGACTATTGCCCTCATCTTTGTTGCGATATTTATCACAACGTCTCGGCCGTTTTACGCTCCGGCTTTCTTCAGGTGGTTGGAATGTTAAATTGAACCCTTTATTTCGCTCGCTGGAAAGGAGCGAGACATTGATGACTTTCTTTCTTTTTTATGTGCCGTGTCCATTCAGGATGTAAGCAATCGTGGCCCTCTACAACTTCCTACCCCTTGTAGCTCTTAATGAACGCCTCCTATCCTCATTTGGTGTCCCAGAAACCTTAACTATATCTTCCTGATATTAAGTATAAATTTCCTCTTTGTCTGCATTTTCTCTAAAACTTCGGCGTTGCTTAAATGTTCGGTCCATGGTATCTTAGGCATCCTTCTGTAGAACCACATTTCTGTTGCTTCAAGTTTCTTCTTCATCTTTGAGATGATGTTTTGGTCTGACGTGGCCTTAGGAAATTCGTTCGAAGTTAGATGTATAAATATTGGTACTACGGAAATGCGCTCAAAGTCAGATTTTCAAGACTGGTGGATAATTCGGGATAGTTTGGTTTGGTTTATTTTGTTTTACGACATATCAACCTCAATGGGTTATTTAACGCCGACAACATTTTTAGAATAGATTCGTATGAATAAAATATGTGTTCTTTGGTTTAGATTGGTTTGGTTTATTTTGTTTTACGGCATATGAACCTCAGTAGGTTATTTAATGCCGACAACATTTTTAGGATAGATTCCTATGAACAGAATATGTATTCTTTGGTTTAGATTGTTTTAGTTTATTTTGTTTTACAGCATATCAACCTCAATGGGTTATTTAATGCCAACAACATTTTTTTATTGCTGGTAATATTTTGTTTTGTCAAAAATCTGTTTCTGGTAATATTTTCCTTCAAAATTGTATTGCTGGTAATAATTTTTTTCGAAAAAGTATTGCTGGTTCACTCTTGGGCCATAGCTGGGACCCTAACAGGTGCTACCACCCTTGATCAGGCTAGACCTGGAAACACCAGCAATTAAGAGGTGGTTCCACGCTCCTCGAAACTTCCTGATCAGACGCCTTGCTGCTGGATGCAGTTTATCGTCTTACCCAGGATGCGGATGTAGTTTAACCTCTTACAAATGACGATAATTCGGGATAGTGTTGTGTCACACGCATGTTCGCTTTTATTACCTAACGATTTGATCTTAATTCAAAGAAAGCAAATGGAGATAAATTTACATGAAAAAGCTAATTCTTTTCACCTTACAAGTACTTACCGTATATACTGGCCTATAGCTGTTTTTTGTTTTTTGTTTTTTTTTATTTTTACGAAAAAATTGGGGGTTGCAATATGCACAGGCAATTTTTTCAAGTTGTTAAAAACCACGCATTTTTTTTTTCTGGAGAGGTTAAAATAAATGTAAAAAAGATTCAGGGGTCGTACGTTACATGAAGTAGACTTATACACGAGCATATATGGTATTTCACTCGAGTAAAATATAATGTAAACAAAGGAAAAACGAATACGGAAAAAGAAAGAAAGAAATGGGAAAATGGAAGATGATAAGCTTCCCACCAAAATTGAACAAAATTTAATTAATTTAAAATCAATTAAGATGTATTAAAAAAAAAATTGACAACATTCATTCCGTAATTTTGATTAGAAAATACTTCTGCCCGTGGAGATTTGACACTGTTCCATCGACTAAATATAACTTTGTAATTTGTAAAAGAGAAATGGACACTTTTATAAGAAAATTAAAAAAAATAATAATTCTTGGAAAAAAGAAGGAAAAATATAAAAAAGTATATTAATTGAGCATTTAATTTTACGACAAAATAATCTTTGAAAATTAATTTGCATGTTCAAATTTGTATTTCGGAATTTTAAAATTTGGAAAAAAATATTAAAGTTTATTTAGTTCCAGAAAATTTATCATCAGCCACATAGAGAATTTTTGTCGGTGAGAGATATAACTATTTGCTTTCGTTCTGCGTTTTAAATGTGAATATGTGTTTATTTATTTTTAATTAATGAACAACACAGAAAGCGCGCTCCAATCCTGTAAAAGGCATCGAGGCCAATGTGTTAGTCGCGTTTGCATGGATTTTTTTTTTTCCGGATTGCAGAGTTATCCTCTAACCAACTAAAAAAAAATAAAAATACGGTACATACTCGCGTAACATGCGACTTTTGAAGACCTAATTTTGAAGCTACTTTTAAAGTGGTTGCATCATACACGAAATATAAAATTAGCGTATGTGCTTCTGATCCTGTCTACACCATTCACCAAACAATATATCCATTAAGTGTAGTCAAATTAGCTTCAAAATTAGTTCTTCAAAAGTCGTATTAAACGGGTGTATGTACGTTAGGTAAATTCCATTAGCATATATCTTACGTGAAATCTTACCTACTACAGGATGACGACAAAGATGTTTTAACAACAACAACAACAAAAAATTACTATTAAATAAGAAGATGCGTGTAGAGTAACGGTTATCAGCAACAGGAGTCGACAAGCCGAGTTCAAATCGCCGCCAAGTCAG